TTCAGCCACACTGTAGAATACGACCTCTTTGGACCATTGATATACTTATTGAAAACAAGCTACAATATGTAATACCTTGGAAAATGCCGTTTAATACTTTTTAATAGCCTTAATTTTCGCTAAATTGATTTATCAACTTTTAATACTTTTTAAGACCCTGCGGACACCCTGTATTACCACTTATAATATTTCCAACAGAGTTATGAGGGTCGCGCATCAAATAATGTTTACTGTTCTCTCTCCTACAGTAAAGGCATGACAGAGCTTTTAAGTCACTGCTAATGTTAACCCAACATTTCCTGTTAGTGCTGAGTCAAAACATGGATGGCTCATATTGTTGAACAGTCACAGGAAATGCATGTATTTGTAAGCACGACCACTTATTAGAACTGAGTTTGCTGAATAAGACAAAGGGCATTTCTTTGATAGTGAATATGTTTTAAATATTGCATGGAGTTACGGATAAAAACCAGTAGTCACTGTAATCATTTCGATACTCCAACTTCTCTACAAGATAACAAACTAAATCACTGTGCCCTGCTGTGATGTGGAAAACTGCTTGCAATAAGCGCAGCAGAAAATCAGATCACAGTCGAAATTATTATTGACATACTTCTTTATGAAAACAACACGAGTCTATTTGGCTGCACAGTAACTAGATACAGCAGAAGCTCCTCGGCTTTATTTCGTGTTTGTTGTAGCATTACATCGCACTTGCCGTTGCCCTGGTAACCAAGAGTTGTTGTCACTTCAACCAGGAGTGAAATCTCAAGGAATATAACTTAACGTGCCAGAATAGTATAATGTCATGTCTTTTTTCGCAGTTATTATCGTGCAATAAGCTGATTATGTGTAACAAGGCAGAATACATTATTGTATTTAGAACGTCGAAAGCAGTTCTTCACATCACACTCACCCTCCTCACTTCCCTCTCGTAGCTGGAGAACCACGGCTCTGCTGTCTCCATCAGCTGAGAGAACAAGGTACTGTAGACAGAGGTGTGTGTTAGGGCTGTGCAATTAGTCGTATTTTAAATTGAAATTACGATTTTGGCCTGCCACAATTACGAAAACAACATAATAAAAAAAAATGATTATTTTGCTTTGCTAGGTTGTGACAGTGCACTGCAACATATTTGATCTAATCTATTTGTATTTATCATATTAATATATGTTTAGTAGCTTGTGGAAGTGCGCTCCAAAATATTTGTTGATCTTGTTTATTGGTATTTATTATTTTGATATTATATATTATATTAAAATATAAATGTGTAATTTATTTTTGTATTGGTTCTTCAGTTGAATTATACATTCAGGGTAATCAACAGTTCAAAAAAAACTGTTCAAATTATTATTTGTATTTGTTTTGAAGTTCAATAAATGGATGTTTTCAAAGTCAATGAATAATAGTATTTAATAATCGTGATATCAATTATTGACCAAAAATAATCGTGATTATGATTTTTGCCATAATCGAGCAGCCCTAGTGTCTGTCTGTCTGTCTGTCTGTCTGTCTGTCTGTCTGTCTGTCTGTCTGTCTGTCTGTCTGTCTGTCTGTCTGTCTGTCTGTCTGTCTGTCTGTGTGTGTGTGTGTGTGTGTGTGTGTGTGTGTGTGTGTGTGTGTGTGTGTGTGTGTGTGTGTGTGTGTGTGTGTGTGTGTGTGGAAAGGAGACCAATAGATAAATAATGAGCATACAAAGATGACATATTACAAAATAAAAACAGAGACATGTGAACCAATTCCAGTTCCTTGAAAAGTAATGACGTTTCTGAACATGAACACCTGTTTCACATGCAATATTGGGAGTGTACTCACTAGGCATCGTGCTCAAGATACTCTGGGTTCAGAAGACTCTTCATCTCTTCACTGTGGAAAAATAAAAATGGATCAGAAATATCTTTCCCTCCTGAACAAGCTGCTAAAGTAAAAGCAGGTCTAAAAAGTGTTCAAGGCCACTTAAAGGTCCCCTATTAGAATGTTTTTCATCAATACATTACAGGTCTCCGATATATACAAAACATGTCTCTGAAGTTTTTGGCTCGAAATACCAAACAGATCATTGCAATATCCCATAATCCCCTCTGTTTCAGCCCTGTTTCAAAAGTGCTGCTTGTCTGTCTGTTACTTTACCTTGGTTGGTGATTGGCTAATGGTTACACAAGCCAAAACATCTTTATGACATCATAAAGTGACCAAAATCTGATCAGCTCATTTTCAGACAGGTTTTTATATAAATGGATCAGGACAAAAAGAGAGAGAATTTTTTTTCCTGAAACGTTCAGAATCTCTTTACACAGAGGGGACACATGTTTATGTATAGAAGACATGAAAAAGTGGATTTTGCATAATAGGTCGCCTTTAAGGTTGAAATATTGGGTTATGAGGATCTGACCTGGGGCTGGCCGTCTCGCTGGCATGCTGGAAGGCTTGGTGGTCGCAGTGCAGCACGAAGACGAGGGGGGCCAGCAGCTCGTGCATCCCCTGCAGAGAGAGAAGAAAAGGAGAAAGGCTTAGAGAGGCCGAGGGGAGAGAGGAATTATGGTTCATTTGTGGTCAGTCTTTCTTTAATAGTGATGCACGAGCTTTCTAATCTGTGATGACAGCTTTAATTTAGATATCGTTAGCCACTACGCGGCCATGTGTCACTTCCAGTTTGTGAAAAACTGATGCTGTGCTTGTCTATTCTTTCGCTGGCACCTGTTACAGAGACTGATAATGATTAGGTTACAAAGGTATTTTCTTTTGTCTCACTGGGCTACACACACAAATAAACAGATATGCTGAGATTAACAACACAGTTGGAAAACCTAATCAGAGACATCAAAGGATTCATTTTCAAGGACCTTTAAGAGAAAACAAAGATGTCTGACTTTTTAATTTAATCTCCTAAAAGAGCAGTTGGGACAATGTGTCAGTCGTACCTGTTTATACAACAACTGTTCGTTTTCTCTGGCGTAACAGAAGAGGATGTCCGTCAGCATGGTCCTCACATCGCCGTTCTGGAAGTAACGGATCTCCGGGAACCTGACATAAATGGAAACAGTACAGAATTAATTGTATTTTTTGTGGAGGCCGAAACGCTTTCAGGTGAAAGGTAATCAAATACAAATACACAAACAGAATGGTGATACTGACGTTCTCAACACGTCCTGTTTGATCATCCCCTTCAGCTCTTTGTCTTGGAAGAACCTGTTCCACAGGCTCTGGAAAGGGAAGGACAAAACAAGACATAAGTGAACAAATACTATTCCGAAATCTGGGGCCTTTGAGGAACCACTTTGATGATACAATAATTACAAAAACAACCGTTCTGTGAGTGACTGGAAAAAGTCAGACAATAGAAGATCGATTAATTAAATAACCTGTCCAGTAACACAGTTTTTTTTAAATCTGTTTTCTACAACTTTCCAAAGCAATTTTTCACTTTTTGGTTGATGGAAACATAACAAACACGATATGCTTTGGTGCATTTATTTGCCTTTTGTGTATTTGTGTGTCCAATGTCTTGTTTTCTTTTTTTTGCAATTTCTTCTTGATTTTCTTCTTTGAAGTCTCAAAATAAGTACTCCCCCTGGAAGCTACTGAGATAGTCATTTGCATTTAGGTATTTGTGATGAATGAATACATTTAAATATTCATTAAGTATTGTAAACTTCATATCCTTTATTTACTTAAAAAAACCTTGACTTCAGACAGTTTTTTCATGTTTAGAAAACTTGCTGTGTACATATTACAAAAGATTATATTAAATATCCTACAAACTTCCCTGGATGGCCATTCATAGCTCTTGTTTACTCTGTTATTATCAGTGTGGTTTTCTGAGTGCAAGTCACAAAAACATCATCAAGTGGTAAAGTGGCAGGCAGATTAATTGGGTGATGAGAAAAACTAAATTAGTTTTTCAATGTTTATAAACACTTTATTAATAGCCTAACCCAAAATCTATTAAACGGCTTCATAATTACTTCTTAAAAATCTGTTAATGAATCAACACGAATAACTCACTGACATGGTCTATAATTATTGCAACACAGTTTGAAGTGAATGCAGTGGGGTCACATTTCGCATGCAAATATGAAGCAACTGACCCCCTCATCCTGGGACAGCGGGTTGTTGACCACCAGGTCCTGGCCGGCAGCCTTACGAGGGTTAGTGATGTGCTGCAACAACAAAAGCAAGAAATACCAAAAAAAATGTCAACAACAGAACAGTGACATGTTTATTCCTAGAAGAGCTGCACTGCTACACATGCATGACCGTACTGTGACCTGGGTTTCCTCAGCTATAGCAGCACATACTTACGTTTGATTTTGTTTTAAATGTTGGTGGTTACATAAACAGTGAGTAGTTCCTCGAAAGAATTAATAATAATAAAAATGTTATGGTCTGGTGCCCTGCTATCTGTGTTCATATACGTGTAAAACACAAAATCAATATGGCCTGCCATCCATAATATAATATATATGATGTTTGTCCCTTGGGTCAGGAAAGAACGAAGTCAATAAACTATTAAATACACTGCGCCAGCTTCCTGGAATAATGGACTGAAAGACCTGAAACTGTCATTTGTCATTTGTCTGTTTGTATAGGTTGTGAAGATGGTTGTAACAATGCTTATGCTTCATTCTTGTCCAGGCCACTCATGATAGAGAGATTTTGTTTCCAATTGGGCTATTACTAGGTTAAAATAGGACATCATTAATAGAATCAACAATTCATTTAGACTACCATGTGTGGAAAACAGAATAAAGGATCATGTAGTAGGTCGAAATTCTCCTGCAACTGTATGTATTTTCCCATGATGCTTAGGGAAACGGCCACACAGAGGCGCTCTCACCGTCTCTTTGATCTTCTCATACCGGGCCCGGAGCTCATTGGTCTTGTTGATCCACTGACCCTTATCTTCGGGAAGAGCCTCCAGGTACAACTGCACACAGGTTAGCGCACTCTTAACATTCATATGACACTTTCCGAACTAAACTCTAGAACTCTGCAGGCTGCTAGAACTGCCAATTGCAGGGAAATTGCCAAAGCCACTTTACATCAAACTGAAAAAGCACTGCTTGATCCACTCCGTAGTTACCTTCCAGCACACGCTCCGAAAGCGGCTGCTTCTCAGTCGGCCGTTGATGCCCGCCTGCCGGATCCTGGCCAGGTAATTACTGTTGAGGAACAAGTCGTCCCATTCTTTCCTGGGCAGGGAAGGGGGGGAGGCAGAGGACAAGGAGATTTATGAGCTTCTCAACCCAAATTGGGCTCGGTATTCCATCTAATGTGTCATCCAGCACTAAAGCAGGAGGCTGGAGCAGTGAGCCGGGCCAAGAGTTGATGCTACACCCACACACACACACCGGAAAGTACTGGAAACACTCACCTGTATGAGAGGAAGGTTGACTGAGACTGTGAGTAAGTGCTGCTGTCAAGAGAGCCTCCTGTTAAAGCGCACACACAGCGACCACAAGGGGGGGATGTTACCAAGTGCAAAGGAGTGGAAACAAATCATTTTTAAAGATTTATAAACAAAAACATAACCTTTGACAGTTAACATAACAAGGAACACGTCTGTTTACTCTTTCCAAATGACCCATCAGTCATTTTCTTTCTGTAGCGTTTCAGAAAAGAGCCAGAAGCAGGGCAAGTGACGACAATGAGCAACGAACCATCCTCCTCTTCCTCTTCAATGGCGGTATTAAGTCTAATTTGGCCTGCAGGTGAACATGCATTCAAGTCGGAGAGCTGTCTATCAACATTAGTTACAGGAGTGGCTCGTTCCACAGGGACACTCAGCATGAATATTCATCAGTTCCACAACATGCCAGCCCACAACATCCCCTCTCTCTCGCACGTAAACATAAAAACACAAAAACACCCTCAGCCCCCGGGGCGTCTCCTGCCACGTCCGTGACTCACACTTCGCTGTGGAGTCAAATTTATATTTGATCATCTCCGATCTACTGAAGAACTTCAAGTTTCACTTTATGTCGTGTTTTCCGGTCAGAGCCTTAGAGGTGCATTCACACCTAATAGTCCGCTCTCTGGTGCGCACCAGACCACAGTTTGTTACATGGTTTCATTTTTCAGAAGGTTCGGTTTGCGTTCACACGGGCAAAATTCAAACGGACTATAAACTTTAAACANTCATCTGCAACTTAGCAAGTATAAAAAGCAGGAACATATTGGGGGACTATAATATAAACAAAGCCAAATTATTACTTATTAAGGCGAGACACCCCAGGTGAATAGGGTAATTTTTTTAACTTAAAGGTATCAGCTAGAC